GTCACCAAAAGCAAGTTAGTGGTTATTTTATTCCAAGAGCTAACGATCATCGGTCTTTCTAAACTATGCCTTCGATGATTTAATACCTTCATTAATCTTAAATGATTCATATGCGTTTGTTTACCTCAAATCGGCCATAAATCTCATCAATGTTGTTCGAACCACAAATGTTCGAGTGGTGTCAGACCAACTCTCTCTCCAAACTAAGGGTTTGATTTCCGAAACCTTCAAAACTAGAACAAAACTCATACTTCGGGCCACAATTTACTGGAGAAAATCAATTCTAGGGTACATCGAGCTATTCTATTTATCGACATGGTTCGGGTACTTTCAATTCTCACATTCTCGGCTTCAATGAAATCAAATCCATTTCTTTTGGGTACAACAATCATGTATTGCTTTTCCTCTTTCCTTAGTGCACAATGCAGGGTTTTAGGTAGGCTATTTGTATCACAGGACATATCTTTTAGGTTAGTAATAGCGTTTTGATTAAGTTTCAACGTCTCTGTGTAGCTTTCTTGGGATACAAGGCCCATGCCCAGCCCATAACACAACAAGGGAAGCAATTGCTCCTTGTATCTTTTTCTTACAACAGTCAATCATTTGTGATAGATGGGCACATTGTGGCAACAAAATTGTTATATATTTGCTTTTAACATAATTAGAATTTGTGGTGACTAAAATTAGAATTTTTTATATTACCTAAATATATTACCTAAAAACCATAAATTAATTACTGAAATGCACTTTTAATATACTCCTTTTGCTCTTTAGTAGAGACTCCCAACTGTATAAACGTCTTCGAGCGTCTCTAGTAGAGACTCTCTACAAGAACTCAACCAAGACTGACGAGACTATCGATCCAACCTATGCGGAAAAACTGAAAGCGGTCTGTCCCAAGGACGTCCACCCGGAGAATTTCGTGTTTATGGACCCGGGAACATCAAATCAATTTGACAACAACTACTTTAGAAACTTACAAAACCTTCCATTGAAGGTGCTCTCAGAGTCTCTCGTTTCAGGATTGTCCCTCAGGTTTTTTTTTTTAAATTAATATTTATTGCTTTTTAATATTTTTGAATGTGAGAAACTTACGTGAGAGACTGCGATGAGGATGACCTAAGGTTTAATATCTTTGGGTTTTTATTGTTGTTCGAACTATGCTCTGTTTCTTCATAATTATATATATAATTAGGGAGTTTTCTCTTCATCTATAGTGTCCACATAGACAAACCTATTTTTGAAAACATTTAAGTTTAAAAAAAAATCATTTAATAGACACTAAATCATATTTATTTATTTTTTATAACTATTAAAAAAATTTAGAACAAAAACCTGAAACATTATGTAAATGAATGAAAATAAAATTAAAAAATTTAAGACTAGAAAAAATAAATAAATATATATCACACATATTAAAAAAACTAAAAATGTGTTGTAGTTAAAACAATTAATAAAAATCAGCTGACGTAATTATATTTCTAAAATGTTAGAAAAAACAAATATTTTCTCTATTATTTCTAAGATATATATTTCATGAAATATAAACGGTTTATTTTTTATTAAAAGATTTGGATTTCAATAAAAATAAAATCTTACATTCAATTAACTTCATTTTGTTTAACCACACATTTAACTTAAAACATTATCTTAACTCTTTTTTTTAACCTACTAGAAAGACCAACATTTAAATTATATTATCATAAAATCTCAAATATTTCTCTATGATGAACAAAAATCAAAATATATATAAACTCACGAGACTAAGATAAATGACAAAAGAAAGTGAGAAG